TTGCTGATAAATGTACTCTTTCTGTGCCATGAGAGCATATTCTGTACTGAAGCCTTTGCGGAAACCATACTGCGAGTCATGAAGCAACGGAAACTTCCTTTCAAAATTAGTCAGCCGTTTTAATATTAGTTTTTCTAATGCCTTCGATAGGACTGGCAGAATGGACACAGGCCGGTAATTCGACATGTTATTTCTATCGCCTTTCTTGAAGAGGACGGTAACGCGTGCAACTTGCATTTTAGTGGGAAAAACAGCCCGGCCAAGGCACAAATTGAATATATGCGTTATATAAGGAAGAAGGAATATAATGACATGCTTTACAGGTTGAACTTGTATCCCGTCAATATCAAGTGCTGTACTGTTTTTCAAATTCAAAACTAATTCTTTCACTTCATTCTCACTTGTCGGATCAAGAAAAATGGTACTGTCGATAAATGGGACGCTTCCAAGGTTACTACTCACATCACATTTTTCTGCGACATTTACAAAATATTTATTGAAAGTGTCGGCCAAGGGTTTTTCTGATATGACCTCGCCGTTAAGATTCATGCTATGTACTGAACCTGTGGACACATTGCGATTTAAGAGAGAATTTAGCCTTTTCCACATTATATCTGAACACCCAGAAACTGAACTAAACATATTGTTATAATATTCTTGTTTTGCCTTTTTGAGATCTTTATTTAGGCGATTTCGTTTAACCTTGAATTCTTTAAACAATTTAGGGTCTTTCGTTTTAAGATAGCGGCTAAATAACATATTTTTTTCTTGTATTCTTTTCCGAAGTTCCGCGTTGATCCAGAGTTTACGAACTTTCCTGTTCTGCTTTGTTTTAACCAGAGGAAACGAAGCAGTATAAATTGGCTTTAGTATGTTCAAAAATTCTTCGTACGCCTTGTTTGGCTCATTCATTTTAAGTATATTCGTGCAAGGAGCCCTCAAAATCTTCTCCGAAAATATTTTCAGAGTTTGTTCGTTTATACGCTGGGTGAAAAATGTGTTCGGTTTGTTTTTGTCACATAAGTGTTTCCTACAACAAATGTATATTGGCAAATGATCACTCAAATCTACAGTAATAACACCAGCCTTGAGGTTTTCTGTCGGTATATTTGTTAAGAACAAATCAATCAAGGACGAAGACATTTGTGTGATTCTTGTAGGGACAGTGATCATATTTGAAAAGCAATGAGATTTCAGCAAAATATCAAGTTTTTGTACTATAGCTTCCTGTTTGAGCATATTTATGTTCATGTCACCGCCACACACAACGTCTAAGCGATTTGTGTTAGTGAACGCAAAAAACGTGTCCAGGTAATCCAGAAAGGATGCCGTTTCGCCATTTGGTGGTCTATAACAAACGGCAAGAACCACATTTTGTAGTTTAACTGATAGAAATTCGAAGTCATTGCAAGAGTGGGTGAAATTTTGAATTAGGTCACAGTCAAGGACCTTTTTCACTAGAATACATACGCCACCGCCACGACCAGAAATTCGATTAAGGTAGAACGTATTGTACGAAGGCAAGCGAAACACGCTGGCTTCATCTGTTGACCATGTTTCAGTTAACATTATGACGTCGAATACATGATTTAATTGTTCGAAAAAAAGGCTAAGGTCGGACTGTTTATTATTTACCGACTGCACATTCAAGTGAAAACATTTAAACGAGTTTAAATAGAAATTTCCTAAACTCTGCGAAAACGCTTCCGGAAGCACATAAGAATCGTTTCCTACGCAAGCCGTGTTGAGCTGATCATTTCTTCTTTCTTTAGCTTAGTTTGTTTAGATCACTAGCATTTGCGATGCGTATGGCTTTCTCCCCATCAGCTTTACGCACTAGAACTTTCCCGTTTGAGTGCCATGCATACTTGAAATTCGCTTCTTTAGCCCAGTTCTTTGCCTCAAACAACAGCGCACGCGCTCTTTTGGTCAGGTTTTCCGTCAAGAAGAAGTGCTCATTTAGGCTGCTCAGTTTCTTTCTGTTTTTCCACCAGAAATCTCGGTCCGCTTGCTTCGCAAAACGACAGATAACGACCGGCGTCTTATCTTTTCTGGGCGGAAGCCGATGAATGGCGACCACATCACTTTCTGCGAGTGGCGGGAACTGGTGTTTAATTGCCATTGCATTGATCGCTTCTAGCAAGTTTTCATCTTCCGTTTCCTGTATTCCATGGAATTCTAGGTTGAGTCTGCGGCTCCTCCATTCAAGATTATCTACTTCTGCCTGCACTTCAGCTACTTCTCGGTCCCGCATCTCAACCTTTTCCAATCTGCGCTTAAGGTCCTTGACGTCACGCTCGTTTTGTTCCGTTTTTTTTTTTAGTATTTCGTCGTATTTCTCACTCAAGTATTGCACCGCGTCGTCAATGCTCTCAACTGTCTCTTTGAGCAGTACTAGTTTATCCAGCTTGTCGTTAATAGCTTTCATCCAAATTCGGACATCTTGCATGTCGGCCTCACTGCCCGGTTCTTTTGATTCAGCTGATGCTGCTTGCAACCTCGACCGTCTACAGCTAGGCCAGCGCCATGCATCGCAGTATGCCTGCCCTTTGGACTTGATAGTTGCTTCAGAAATTCCAGCACATTTGCCGGCGTGAAATGCTTGACAGCAGTCGCTACATTCAATCCATACGACGTCCCCAGTGAACGGCTTATCGCACACAAAGCATGTTCCATCTCGGGGCATAGTTGCACAAAGCGACAAATGAGAACAGTAGTTTACACGGCAGCACCAGCAGTAGCAGCAGTAGTTGCGGCACAACCAAATTTACAGCGGGCATAGAAACAACACCAACCTGCGAAACAGAAGAAGAGACCGTGTTCGTTTACGCCGTTCTTTCCGCCGCAACCGCTGCTGCCAAGTGGTCTCGGTGATGGCTTGGTCCTCCCTTTAAGAAGCCCAGTGGCTGTACGGCGCAGGTGCGGTAGAATTCATCGCAGGGTAGTTGGGCGCAGGCGCAGCGGAGCTTGTTACTTCTCCTTCGCACCGACGGCGATGTACATATGGACGACGAAAAATGCGCACGGTGTGCGCATTTTTCGTCGTCCATATGCGCGAAGAGCCGAGAGAAGAGCTCGGCTCTTCGCGTCTCTGTCGGCCCCAGTGCCGAATTTGTAACGCCTCTGTATATATGCTGTACATAAACCTTGTTTAACTCACCGTCGTCTCGTCCGCTCGTCTATCAGCTCTGCGCAGAAGCAGTCGCGAGCTGAGAAACCTACGCTATACCAAACGGCTGGTGACCTTCCCGGCGGAGTTCGAAGCAGTGGCGCCTTCGGGACCGTGTTGGCGTCGCCGTCTTTCGAAACAGTGGTTGCAGCGGTGAGATTCGTAGCGCCCTTCGTAACGTCGTCGGAGGTGCGTTTCGCAACACCGTCGATACTTCTCAACCGCGCCAGAGCACGTAGGCATTTAGACATGCGGCAGCGAACATTCGAGTATTATCGGTGGTGGCAGCGTTTGTTCGAGAATAAACTAAGCTCTTTGTGTTTGTAAGCTCAAGTCTGAGAGATGATCCTAAAATAACCTGGAATCATCTCGAAAATTCTGGCGCGATTTGCATAACACATTACCTACATGTGCAATTGGTCGTTCAACAGAAAGAAAAGAACGTATGTGGCAGTATTTATGTACTGCTGTGGTGAAGTAGTCATGTCGGGTAACGTCAGTTTTATACTTAAGCACCATCTACTGTAGTTGGTTTATGTAGCACTACCTAGGGCGACCATTCTCGCAAGCACAAACACTACATATGTGCTTACCGCTTCTGGTGTTGGTAATGTGCATGTTTCTGTTGGCATCATTACGCAGCTGTAAACAACTTTTTATGTGAAACATATGTGACTGTTAAACATATGTCTGCGTACGTTTGTTCTTATCTCCAGCGCCATTTCATAAAGTTTCACTTAATAAAAAAAATTACAACCTAGTCACCTTACTTTCGCATGCTTCGCATAGCATCGCTTCCCGTGGTACTTGGAACCTGCCGAATTTATTAGAATTTTGGTTCATTATTGCGAATAGTTACTGGCAATTTGAGTAGTTTATTTTGCTTTAGCCTTGTTACCTTATTTATCCCTCGCACAGAGCATGGCATGGGGCAGTGGATGGACAATCCGATCCCACACAGTGCTGCGCCCCTAAAAAATAATGATGCCTGGTAGGCCACGGCAGTCCTTCCGCTGCCAAGTCTCCGACGTGAAGAAGCGACCGGACCTCGTCGCCTGCTCGGGCCGGCGCTGCCGGTGAGTGGCGCTCCATTCGCGAGAAGGCGTCGTACGCACCTCCTCTTCCACTCCTCCGGCACACCGATAACCTGCGCGCGCGCTCCAAGTCGCTCACACGCAAAGATTCGCTCGCAGGATTTCAAGCTGGACGGTTGTGCCCTCGCGATCTCCGACTTCAGCGTAGCTCCCGCCGACTGGTTCGCCCTCCGCGGTCTCCTGATGCCGTGTAGCTCTCGCATTGTGGCACCCCGCCCTTGGACTGCTTCGACCGGATCCCCACTTTCCTATCTCCTTCTTTTTCCTCTCGTTGGCTGTCTTCTTCTGCTTCTACTTTCCTTCTATTCTTTTTATCCCTCCTTCCCCCCACCCCTATAAGGCACTGCGCCGTGTCGCCTGAAGGCAGACAGAAATTAGGTGCCTTTTTCCTCTTCATTGTAACCACTACCACCACACGCAAAGCGGCGACGGCCGTGAGCGACGGCTGAGCATCGGGTTCCGAAACGGATCTTTGCCGTCGACTGCCCGGCGCGTGGCAGGCCCACAACCTTGGTGTGTGTTTTCTTCTCCGAGTTGCTACGTAGAAGACTCGCCTTCAAGCCTGCACAGACGACACGGCAACGGTTCTGCTTCAATTTACTGTTTCATATGTGAATAAGTGCTTTGGCGGCGTGGAATGTCATGACTTCGGCAGTGTGGCGGCCCACGTCGTGATGATTGGGGCAAAAGTTGAATGTGTTGACACGAGCCGCCCGACTTCTCGTCCTTTTCGTGGCAATGTGCTTGCGGGCCACATCTTGAAGCTTTTATGCTTTTTTGTCTGTGTGGGCGTGCCAACGATGCAAGTTGATTCAATCTTGTTCAAGCTGTTCTTGTAGTCGTGCGATTCTTGTGTGGGCGTTTCTTAACCCATCCCGACTCGGTGCGGGCGTTCTTTACTGCTTCGTTTATTGACCTCTGAGACAACCACCCAAAGGGTCAGAGAAGTGCGATAAGTTTCTTCATTCCAGTGATCTGGTGCGTGGTTTTTTTTTTCTTTGAGCAGCAGATTTTGTGATCCCACGGTACACTTTTGTATGCAACCGATTATAGACGCTATTTTTTATAGATCATTAAGAAAAACTAACAACTTGCATGGTGATCGCCTTGGCAGAGTCCCGCACTTTAGGTGCGCTGTTCATACAAAGTTTTACGCAAGAACGCACGGTGCTGCCGTGATCAGCTGTGCGGCAAAAACTGTTGCTTGCCTCAAAAACATCCAGTTTGACGACGCTATAATGGCAGCACGTACGGTTAGACGTTTCTCTCCTTCGCCATCTTACCTGTCTGTAATGCGGGCATGACAAAGGTCCCGCCGCTCACTCTCTATGCAACGCGTTATCAGGAAGAAATTTTCTCCATTTAGCAATTGAATATGTCTGACGGCCACTTGCTGGTTAAGCTGTTAAGCACATCGATTGGAGCGAAAGACGTCAAACAAAGCAGTACACTGACAGGTGTCGCGCGGGACAAAGAGTGGCGCGGTGTTCCGGTAACACTTGCAGAGTCAATACTCGCTAGTCGCATAAGGCATTTCTGTTCGCATTAATGTTGCTTGCACTGCAGTATTCTTCAAGACTTGGACAAGGGCCGCTCTCTGAACTTCGCAGTTTATTCTACGTCCCAGTTTTTAACCCATTCAATTATTGCTGCTATAGCAAAATAATGAAGCACCTCGTCTGAAAAAAAAAAAAAAACTGCGTTGAGCCCACCCGTTTTTCCAGCTGTGAGTTTTTCGTCACCTGGTAGTTGTTCGTTTGTGAGAGGCCTCATGTTACGACTATCGTAGAAAAGTCTACTGCTTCGCAATTGAGGGAGGAATGGATTATGTGTAGAGTGAATCACTGCCATCAGTCGTGTATTGTGTTGCTCTTTTCACTTTAACCAGACTGCCGCAATGATATGCTTGCAAAGGGTTGTAAGAAATCGCTCTCTAGAAACTAACGCCTGAAAACAAGCTTTTTACTGTTCAGAAGTTTCCCACGGGTAAATATACTCATTGCGCAGACAAGTTGTCAGAAAAGTATTCTATGAAAACCTTTAATTACATTATAGTTATTGTTAATGTATTAGCATAACCTGCAGCTTTCCGCTAAGTGGTGTAAATAAAACCTAGAATACATTTATGTAACAGATATGTATTCCTTGGCGTCTTCCCCAGCGATATTCGATTTGCGTGATAGAGGCATGTAGAGGAAGACCCGCCAGCTGTGTGCATTTCCTCCTTGGAAGTAAACAGTTCTCTCCCGAGTGAACGTTTCACTGACCTCGCATGCGGAGATATCCTGAAGGCGAACGGTTTTGGCGTGGCCGATGTTGTAGTTTGTCACGCACAGCTTTTCGCCGGAACACCCTTTTATTAGCGCTATACTCTCGAACCCAGAAAATTCAAGATTACGCACACCTTCACGGCTGCTAGGAGGAAAGTTCGTCAATAGATAATCACCGTGTTTTCCAAAGTTTATTGAAGGTGCATACACGGATGGCAGTGCCGCGTTGAGGCATTCAAGGCTTCTGGGATTTGACTGCACAAGTTGTTTATAGCAACGACACCAGCATATACTTTTTTTCTAAAGAATGCTGTCCAGGGACATAAATTCCAACAACATTCACCTCAAAAGCTCATCCCTCTTGCAAACAAAACGCGAACTGTTGACATCGCCAGTCGCGATCATTTCTGTTAGGTTTATGCTTATAAGAACTAATACCGGAAACAATATGACTGCGTTTTCTACGTGTTTTTCGTTGTTACGTTCCAGCGGTAACTTCAGAGCAACAGAATGAAATAGCGCCGTTGTGCTGTGAAGTTGACAAAGCAAAAAGCAGACGGACAGCTACAAAGATATAGCAAACGAGAAGACTTTCTGTATGAATCTCTGCATTAAATTTTTCTTCAAGAAACTGTGGTATGCTGCGAACTATGTCTCTGCAGTAAGCTTCGATGTGTCATTTTCCACAGTTTTACTTATATATTTCAAGGCCTGGAATTTAGCTTGCGCCACAGAAACTCCTCTTATCCATGCCTCTTACATTCTCGACCAAACTGAACTCGGCCGTTTCGTTGTAGAGACGCTCCCTCGGGAGCACTCGGCTGCCTTGTTGTCTCTCAAAATATTGGACGCGTGGCGAAGGCAGCCGCGCGGGGCGCCGTGCTTTGTTTTGACGCGGACACTGGACTCAACTGCGAAGGCCATTTCATTTCGGCAGAATTACACCCGCTCTGGATGACGAAAAAGACCTACGACGAGTGAGGAGAGACAACCTAGCTCGCACGCATCGCCGAAGATGATCGACCACAGCGAGACGTGCCGTCGGACTTTCTCTCTCTCTGGCGGCGGCGAGCAAAGCGCGTGGCTGAGTGCGTGCATCTGGCGCGATAACTAGTAGCGCCCGTATAATCGGCCTTGGTGGGATGCTTGGCCTGCTGTTCGGCCAGTCTCCATGGTGGTGACGGCGAGGCGTCTGCGGTGCGGCGCCCTCCTCTCCTGTTGCCTTCTCATTGTGCGAACGCTAGCGAGTGAGCAGCCGGCCAGCTACTACGACATCCGGCCGTCCGACGGCCTCAACGAGACGGGACCCTGGGACGTATTCTTCAATGACACCACTCTGGTGTTCAGCTACGACCCGGTCGCCGCGAATGCCACTGACAGCGGGCAAGATGAGCCACTGTCGTCGCCATCCTGGGAAGAACGTTATGACCTGTTACCGCTGCAAAACGACTCGTCACCGCTGCTGGAGTATCGGGAACCATTCCAGCCTCTTCCGTCCCTGACTGATGAGGAGCGCAAGACAGTGTACCTGCTCGGCCTGTTCGAACTCACGGGCAGCTGCGAGGCCGCGAAAGGTGGTCGTGCCGAAAGGGCCGCGGCACGGCTGGCCATACGACACGTCAACGAGCGCAACGTGGTTCCTGGACACAGGCTTGAGATGTACGACAACGACACAAGGGTGAGTAGACATCTTTTTAGCTTTAGCTTGTAGTTTGCGCTGCCTTACGCTCATATATACGCACAGGTCGACAACATAAGGCTAAATATGTGCTTCACTCACTCGAACATAGGTGAGGGCTACACAGCGTTACTTAGAATAATATAGTCACACTGACTATTATGTGATTCAGCCTAGCTCAGCCGGATGCGCCCACCAAAATCAAAATAGGGCGCTTGGTGCAGGGATATATAGCACTCTCCGGCTTTCTCGTGAAATGAGCACATACAATACGAACAGGCCTATACGTGCTCAACAAATAAGTAGTACACGTGGGCCGACTATAATCTTCAGATGTTTCAAGAAAGTGACGCCTAACAGTGTTAAACAAGTCATTTACTTTCTGTGCATAACAATGTTTCGTGAGACACAAATAAGTATGTCTCACTGTCTCGGCACTGCTAAGCATCTTACGGAATCGTTAAATGCCATAAAAAATTTGTAATCAAGAACGTTCGCAGTGTTGTGCAAGTGAGTACGTATGTGCGGCGCACCCGCAATTCGGTATAGTAGCTAAAAGTCGTTTCTTTGTTTCTTCTGCTAGGGAAGTTTGCCCCCTAAACGGATGTGGACAGTGCTAAAATACTTGAAGGAAAGGGTGCCATGTGTGTAAGGCCACGTTTCAACCAAACGATTCGCGATAGCAGGTCAGAAGCACCACTGTATCGCTTTCTTCAGTTGTGACGCTATGCGCCCAGAATGTACAATGAGGCGCCAAGTACAGGTGTGCGCACTGCTTTGTCCGAATTTCCCGGTGTACGTTAGTGCGATGCAAACTGCGCTGCGCATCACGTTGCCGCCGTCGAGCGACCCGAGCAAGTGATGAAACGAAACAAAACAACAAATGCATACTCACTAAAGAACATTTCTTCTGCTTGGGGATTCAAGGGCTCATTTTCTTTGTTAGGCAAATATTAATGAGGACTCACTTGTTCTCATTGTCAGCAAGTTCGGCGTTCACTCGTATCCATCATAATTCTGCTTAGTCATGCTGATGTGTCCTTCGAAATTTCAGTGGATCGACTCATATTTGCTGACTGTTCCAAGTTGAGAGGAAGACAAAAGCTTGAAGGACCACTAGAACACCGAGACTTTAGTTAAGGTGAGGAAGCTGCGAATCGCGTCGTCAACGCGTAGCCACGAGAATTTTTCGAAGTGATACCGTAACAGAAGAGCTACACGTGTTTCGGGATCCAAAGAAGAACTCACTCGTTTGGATATTTCATTCGTTTATCGCTCACAGCGTCATATTTTAGTAAAAAGAGTGGCGTACAGCTCTTAGTTGCTGCAGTGTGATCAAGGAACCTCTGAGGCTCCCGAAACGTGTGTTTGTCACATTGACTTGGCCAGTGGCATCAACCTCTTCAATATCATGTTATTTGACCCGACGAACTTTCCTCAAACTCTCCACAGCTTATGACCACATTAGGTGTCCTTTAATTTTCTCTCGGGGAGCAAAACGTAGACTTGTTCATATACCCTGAAAGCATGACATTTTTGAAGACACAGTATCTTGCACTAATTTCGTGACTGCGCGTGATGTTCGAATCAACTTCTCTTGAATGGAGCTCCTTATGCAGCTTTTACCAAACTGCATAATTGAATAGAAATGAGCATATCTCCTATCATGAACTGAAATATTGAAAAATTTTGTTGCACTTTAATGTACTTCAATTCAGAGCTGAAGCTTATTAAAGGAAATTTCAACCACTTTGAAAAGAAACAACGCATGCGCCGAAATTACCTGTAATCAAAGAACTCATACAGTGTACGCAGTTCGCTATCTAAAAGGCAAACAGACGGCTCGGATATGCAATCTTACCAGGCATATTGAATGAAGTACGCTTCCACGACTTTCCGTGCCCTTCTATCTCTATGTTTATGCATAATGACAGTGTTATCTAAGAATGGTCTACATCCACATGCCCTACAATGTGTCGCGAGGTGTGACGTCAACGTGCTCCTTAAGTTGGGGCCTTTCTTTGATGCATTTACCCGACTGGCCTATATACACTCTGCTGCAGGAAAAGGGCATCGAACGCCAACAGAGAAGGAAACGGGAGGGCTGTTTCAGCGACCGGCTTATCGACTGTGAAGCGCGTAATCTGGTTGTGAAATTATTTCGCTACGTTGATGAGTACCTTATACTTTTTTCGGAAATATTGTTCCCCTTTCAACCTTTTTAACTTTATGAACTTATTTAATGAAAAACTGTTTGTGCTGAATTTCACCTGTTACTTACAGAGTAAACATTGTTTGCAGTTTTTGGACCTCTGTTTGTTTTTGCAAAGTGGCAATATTTGCTGGCGTTTCTCTGCGCGTTCCAAGAAATCTTGGCTTCCTTAGACATCCGGTCATTCTAAGATTATTAAGAATGTCATCGCAATAAATTCTGCCTTGAAAATGTCCTGCATTCTCAAATGCCAGGATAGCTTTCGGCGGCAAATTGATCGACTAAATAATGTTGGGTTCTCTGCGCATATTCTTCTGGAAGTCTCAGAAACATTAATCATGAAATGCTAATCCCCCCCCCCCCCCTAATAGGTAACCGGTGAACGAGGTGATAAGCCCAGGAAATATGCTGTCATGCCTTACGTGTGCCGGCTGTCTCATCGAATAAAAAGAATAGCAAAAAGTTTTGACGTCGATGTTTTTTTTTTTTTTCTGCGAACCAGAAAGTTGGAAAAGCCTGTGCGATTGAGAACACGGCTAGAGGAACTTCAGGTGTGGGTTGCACGGTTAAACATCGAAACCTTCCGCCTCTTTTCCTTCTCTGTTGGTGTGGTCTATAGGATACCCCTCTTCTGCGGCAGAGTGTAAATAGGCCAGTCAGGTATATGCATCAAGAAATGACTTCGACCGCATAAGAGTACCTTAAAGGGAACGCCAACCTCACACTTCACGACACATTGTAGAACGTGTGGATATAGACTGTTCTTCGATAACACTGTCATCATGCATAAACATAGAGACAGAAAAGCACGTGAACTAGCGGCAGCGTACTTCATTCAAGATGCGGGAAAAGATTGCATATCGGAGCCGTATGTTTGGTTTTAAGTTGTGGACTACGTAATCTGTATGAGCTGTCTGATTACAGGTAATTTCTGTGCATTCGTTGTTTGTTTTCAGGGTGGTTAAAATTCCCTTCAGTGCACATTCGTGGTTAGACGGCGCTTGTTTGTATCCTCTTCTTTGTGCTCCGTTTCGTTCAAGCTGAAAAGTTTACAATAATGCATGAGTTTCAACTCGGCCATCTCTATACTTTGGATGACAGCTACTTAAGTTGTATAAATATTTTTGGAAGCACCAGCTAACATTTGCACAAGTGTGTATATGTCTGCACGAAACGTCAACGTAACGATCCAGTGTGCGCACTGCATTTTCCCAAGCTATTTTTCACGATTCTATAAAACATGTTTTATTTTGGACTAAAATTAGGTAATGAGTGAGAGGACGTTCATGAATAGTTGATAAAATTTCAGGTTCCTGTGCAACTCTTTGGTCACATTCAAATCAAATCAGGCAGCTGGACTTTCTGTTTTGAAACTTGAAAGTTTCTATTTCAAAGTAAAACTGCCTGGCCTCCAGAACATAACGCCACTCCTTAAAGCGACATTAACGACGAAAAATCTTTGTCTAATATTAGGAAAATATTATTTCCCAAAACCATGATCCCCGTAGTAGCCGCGAGGAGACGCTTGGTAAGAGAAAAAACGCCGAAAATAAAGTACGAGTTGCGATGCCAACACGAAATTCCCGCTCAAATAGCAGCAGCGTCATATATCTTGACTATAGGGCATATTTCTATCCTTCTAGTACGTTAAACTTCTAGTAGATTGAAATGAAAGAAGTAGTGCTGTATGGGGCCACATACAAAGCTTCGGGCAATATCGCTGAGCCAAAAGATTACGCAAAATACACATTGAATTCTTCGACGTCCCTCGTGGAGATTCCTGAGCAACATTTGGAAGTGAAACTGTGACCTTGGTTTTCTCAAATATTATTTGATATCTGTGGTAAATTGGCGTCCTTGGAGTTTATGAAGTATAATTTGTCAATCTACTTATGATATGATTCATCAATATTCGTGCTCCAATATGGCAGCATCTCTCGCGAATCGTGGATGTAATGTGAAGTCTATTGTAATTGGCTGAGTACTTCACTTATAATAGCCTAGCGATACAGTGCCTCACACCCCGAGGTGAAGCCAGAACAGGTACGAAGGCATCCATCTGTGTCTCCTTTAACGTGCAGACACATTAGCAGCACTCTGTTATGCGGCTCGTCTATTTCTTGATTTTATGCGCGAATACTATTATCACGAAGAAGAAAAGTGGAGATACACCAAGCCATTTACGGGAGAAGCAAGGGTAAGAGGAGGAAATCTGTATTTTTATTTTAATTAACTTTGTGCCTTTTGTGAGACCGATGACGCACCCCGCCGCGGTGGTCTAGTGGCTAAGGTATTCGGCTGCTGACCCACAGATCACGGGATCGAATCCCGGCTGCGGTGGCTGCATTTTAGATGGAGGCGGAAATACTGTAGGCCCATGTGCTCAGATTTGGGTGCACTGTAAAGAACCCCAGGTGGTCGAAGTTTTCGGAGCCCTCCACTATAATCATATGGCGGTTTTGGGACGTTAAACCGCACATATCAATCAATAATGTGCTGCCGATGGTGCGTATTGCAATTTAAAAAATAATTATTTCCTAAGTTGTTCACAATTGCCCACCGTCCAAAACGTCAGATTTATTGTCACGCAGGTGCCACTAATAAAACCGGAAGGGGGGTCTCCTTGTAGCGTTTGCATTTTATTTTTATGTAAGCAGCTTGTTCATAGCCGCTTCATTAGACGAATGCTGTATTCTACTTCTTGTACTTAACCAGTAAATCGTTTAGTACAAGATAGACTCCACCAACTATAGCATCCAATATAAGATTAACAGTGTGATGTGTAATG